TTTTGGCAGTTAAACAGTTTTTTGTGAAAATTTAATTTTTCACATATTGGCATTTTCAAGGTGTGACTTTAAAGTTCCATGATCTTGAAGACTTTTGCTTGTCACATTTTCTGAATGTCCATGTTACTAATATTTTATTAATAACATTTGATTGTCATTATGCTGTTAAACATTATGTAATGTTGCATCAAAATTTGAAGAAACCCCTATTTTGGGCACTGCTCCTATGATGACCATTTAAGGGAAATCATGTCACTTACTGTTCTCAAACTTACAGGAAAGAAACATGGGTCTAACATACAGCTTCAATAGGCAACGCAGTCTGTTTGGTAAATTTTTCTGGCAATTTAACAGTTTTTTGTGAAAATTAAATTTTTCACTTATTTGCATCTTTATTTTCTGTTCTTTGTCTGTACATTTGACAGCTTTGCTGCCTTGTTTCTGTTTCAACTTGTATTTTATTATATTGTTTCAGAGGACTGATGTCCCAGAAAGTTGAAGTAAATGGTGCTAGCATTCACTACATTAGCAGTGGGATTGGAGACCATGCATTACTACTACTGCCTGGGGCTCTTGGTAGGTGAAGGTCACTGAGGTGAAGGTGAAGGTCATTTGATTCAGTTTGGACTTTTTTATTTTAAGGAAAAATGGAAAAGTGTTGTATTTGAAGTGTGTTCACTGGAATTGTTGGCAATGATAATTAATGGAGAAGAGTGTGTTTATACAAACCCTCATATGTCTCCCTCACAGGTTGTGCAGTCACTGACTTCAGTCCTCAGGTGGAACACTTAGACAAAGCCAAGTTCACAGTAATAGCCTGGGATCCGCGGGGTTACGGCAACAGTAGGCCTCCAGATAGAGACTGGCCTCTCACCTTCCTGAGCCGAGATGCTGACGATGCTGCAGGAATGATGGAGGTACAATGATCATGGTGGTCATCAAAAATTTCGTTGATTGTTCTGGTATTTATTCATAAATTCCAAACATCTCATCGATTCCATTTATCTATGTTGATTTATTTTAGAAACTAGGTTACAGTAGCTACTCTCTCCTTGGCTGGAGTGACGGTGGTAATACCGCCATGATCATGGCCGCCAGGTATCCTGAGCGTATACGTAAACTGGTCATGTGGGGCTCCAACTGCTTCACCACTGAGAAGGATATGGAGTGTATTAAAGGTAGGCTTGGTTGTGACAGATTGTGTTAGCTGTGACAGGTTGTGACAGATTGTGTTAGATGTGATGACTGTGCCACATTGTGTTAGATGTGACAGATGGGAAAGTGTGACTGTGGAGTAGGATGTGACCAATTTCAACATATTGTTTAAGATGTCAATTTGTCAACACAGAAACCTTGTTTTAAGACTTTGATGAAAATCCAAAGAACTTCTGGTATTTCCAGCTGTCCGTGATCTTAGCAAATGGAGTGACAGAATGAAACAACCCTTCATTCATGTTTATGGAGAGGAGTATTTCAAGGCACAGTGGGAGGCCTGGTATCAGGCATATAGCGATTATTTCTACAAAAACAAAGGTAAACAATGCATTTAGTACTTGACAAATATATACTTATTCACATTTCATATTTTTTGCAATTTATTTCAATATATTTGCATTTGTAAGCCCTTAGTTTATTTGTATGCAAAATCTGATTAGAAGAATTGAAATTTTCTTTTACTTAGTTTATTTGTATGCAAAATCCGATTAAAAGGGATTGAACTTTTCTTTTACTATCATTATCTGTTATCTTATCTACATTTAAGTGAATCCTAGGTTTTATGATCCAGCTGCCAAAGCCAATAAAAGATTGAATCTTGCTTAAGGTTTTTTATTCTCAGTTATTTGAGTTTTTCAAAATTTTAGGAAAGGAAAGAGTGTCTGTTCTGTGCATGGCTAGGATAAGACACTTCAAAATATTTAATTTTTTTTTCCACAGGAGACATCTGCAGAGATGAACTTAAAAACATCACGAGCCCAACCCTGATTGTCCACGGTGACAAGGACCCAATGTTGGATCCAGTGCATCCTGTTTATCTCCATGAGAATATCCAGAATTCCAGGTAGTATGAAGAATGGTATTGAATAAAACTTAGCACAGCCCCCTAGCCAGCAATTGCAAAGTGGGGAGTAGGGGGAGGGGGGGGGTAGGGGGGGGAGGGGGGTCTTTCACATTTTACTTTGAAACTTTTATGTACCAAGATCAGTTTTTACCCAGAGTGAACCTTTTTTTTTCGGCAAAAAGGTTAGTTCATTTGAACCACCCAATTTCCCCTGGCAGTGGGCCTGTAGCACTTTACTGGTTTTGATTATCAAATTCAAATCAAGAGGGAGTCCACAATAATAGGCATTACAAGGTTAATTATATTGGAATGAAGTATGTAAACTTCAATATTTTAATAGAAAAATGAACCAATTTTTAAATTGGATATACTAGTGTGTGTTCATCATCTGTTTTATACGTCAATCAGTCCTTGCAGCATCTAAGACTGCATTCAGATTCACGTCTGATACTAGTTGGGTTGGTCCAACTCTGTGGGGAATTCCCACTAAAGAGCAATCAGTGGAATCGGCTGAATTGTCTGACGTGCCTTCTCTAGCAGCTAAGGGGTAATTAACTATTGTGTGCTTATTAAGCTGATTCCACTTGAGCGCGAATCCCCACAGAGTTGGACCAACCCAGCTAGAATGATAGGCCAATCTGAATGTACCCTAACTGTCAAGATTGACAGCTTTAACTTCCAAAGGAACAGTATTTTTTTCTGCTTATTATATGGTCATTCATGATTGTCACATCTTTGTTTTCTTTGTCCTTAGACTAGTCCGGTGGCCTGAGGGAAAACACAACATCCATCTGAGGTACTTCGAAGATTTCAACAAACTGGTGACAGATTTTCTGTTGGAGCAATAGGAGGCAGCACCTGCTTCCTAATTTCAACTATAGATGGTAGCATTAGTTTCATCAGGGGAAGGACAGGCTTGTTTACAAGTGAAATTTTGCTCATATTTCGCCAATTATAATTTTATCAGTATATTGACTGAAGATTTTCTTCTATGCAGATTGGCTTAAAGGAAATTTTGGAATTGTTAGATGGCTGTTCTAGCGTCTGTGAAGATGAACAGTGTCATGTTGACCTCCCTGCATATCAAATGGGCTGGGAAAATTTTTATGCAAATATAGGGAATTAAATTCTACCAGAATAATCATAAATCTTCTGGTTATACTTCTTGATTGGTTTTTGTGTGATTTTCAATAAAATGTTGGTTTGAAGTCACACTCTAGCATGTTTATCATGCACTTCAAAAAGGACAAAAGCAATATTTTAACATTTCCAAAAATTGGGGTTTCCAATTTGAGGAAGATGGTGGAATTGAGGTAAAAATGGACTAATTTCAAGATTTTAAATTAATAGTAAAGTTTCCTCAATCAGCATTTGAATATTTTCCATGTATGTGAATATTATGATGCAATGTGAATGGCAGCATTATAGGAAAGTCTGTAGAAGGGACTCTAAATTCAAGTCAAGGGTGTGATTGATTGGTTTGTGCCTTTGAAAAACCTCGTTAAAATGTCTGTTAAACATTTTTAAAATGAATTTTCTGTTGTCAACAGTTTTTGTTGACTGCTTCAAATTTTGCCTTAAAAGGTGCCTGTACAACTTGTTATCATCTAAAAATGAAATAAAAACCAAATTTTGAACTTAGTTCTTCTGTTTTCCTCATAAATGGATGGCATTCTGATGTTACAGAAATGGAAAGAGCAGAGATTTTGAAGAAAACTGGTGGCCATCTTTTGAAATGTTGACAGGAAATGACTTGCCTTGGGCAGTTATGGGTGTAAATATTATGAAACATCTCAGAGCAAGTTTAAAAAGCAGAAAATTGTAGAGAACAAAACCAGAAAGGAGCAAAATAAAATGCTCTGTGCAGACTATTTCTTTCAACAGTTTACAGAACGGTTGATGTTATTCACACAACTTGCCAAATATATTATTTTCATTTAAATCTTAAGTCCAATAAAATGTATTTACCTTTCAGCTCATCCAGTATTTCAGTGAGAACAGATTAGGGGTGATAGCATGTAGTGAAAAAAAAAAAGCCCTCTTGGAGTTGGACAATTTTCTAAGCAAAAAAGAAAACTGATTTTTTTTTCTGGACTCGTGGACACAACATCTAAAGAAAACTGTTCACTTGATCCTGTCTGTTCTTGCATCCATCATTATATAAAATGTAGCACAAGTAAGCACACTTCTCACCGTCTGTTCTTAATTTACTACACAATTACGGAATAGGTATATACATAACTCCAGTAATACCCCGTGATGACCTGCCCCCCTCCACAAGAAATGAGCAAGCCCACTTTGGTGTACTGGTAATAAGATGGTGGAGCAGTTCATTCTCATAAGAGGGGAGGGGGCCGTTTTATTCAATCATCAATTCTGGTAAGTATACAATGCACATTCCCCAACAAATGGTTGTTTTGCGGCTCATACAAGCTATAAGAAGTTTTTGTGGCAATGACAGTTAAGAAGCTCAACTTGTGCTCAGGCCAAAAGCTTTAATTATCACCGCACTTTTAACCACAAAAGAGACCAGTTAACAAAACTTGGATCACAGAGGTCAGTTAAACTGGTGCTTGTCTGAGCAGTAATTAATTAAAATAAATCCGAGCCCATAGTAAAGAAACGATGAACCAATCAGAATTCTTGAGAATGCATGCATAAATCTGTCTTTTTATCTGTCAAAAATAAATAAAGTCTAATTACCAATAAACAATAAACAAGATGCATGATGCTCATCTAAAATTGAACTTTTTCGCAAGACGAGATCATTTTGTTTCATCAAAGGTTTCCCTGCTGAGCACCAACCTCTCCTTGACAAACCTGTTTAAGGCAACAGAACCTTTCATTTTCTTTTATTCTTTTTAAAAAAGTTTAATAAATGTAACCGCCCTTTTGGGACTTAAACACAGAAGCAAACCAAGGAACCAAAGAGGCGGGTGATTGAAGCCTAGTGATGTATTGAGAATAGTAAAGCAATGCAACTTAATAAATATTGTAACATATTTTACAACTCAGCAGTCCTCTTGGACAGTGAACTCAAGAAGAGAGGGTCAACCCTGAAGCCTGAGAGTCCATGCTGCTATAATTGAGCGTCATTCTATTGCAAAGCAATCCTTCCTATTTTTTCAGGCTTGATTAATCACAAAACAACTACCTTCCTCAGTACTTTGTTCTTGATTAACAGTATTGGCAGTTTGTTTTAATTGACAAACTTTTCAACATGGCTCGTTTTTATCAGATTCACACACTGGCAGAGTTTTGAATCCTTATGTGCACGGTTCACAAACTGAAATATAACAAGCCTTATTATTTATCCACATTCTCTTCCACATAGCTGAATTCTCTGTTTTACACACAACCAGAGACTGGCAAATCCCAGTTTTACTTCCAGCTTTTCTTTTTAGAAGAAAACGCCTCCTGCACAGTGTCAGCTTTCTGAACAAGCAGAAGACTGCATAACTATGGTAGCACTTGCAAAAATGACATGCCAATATCAAATTCTTCCTCATTGTCATTTTTTCTTCATATATGTGAGGGGAAAAAAAGACCAATATGTCTCCTATCCTGCTAAGAATCTCGGCTCTTCCTAAGAGAAGTAATAACATCAGTGCTGTCCTCCTCTTTGGCGAAGATTTCAGAGCTACCATTTGTCATCCAGGAAAGTCCCGACGTCTGCGCATTCTTGCTGCCGTCATCGGTCTTCTGAAAGTATAGATTTAAATACATTGTATTGTCACCGTTTTTGAAATAGCATAGCTGCTACAATTATACGGAGATGTGAGACTAAAATCAACTTTTTTGTATATTACTTACAGCCCTGTGCTATTTGTGCAGGTACTAGTAAATAAACAATGAAATGGTGTGAAATACCGAAGATAATTAAACTGGTGCTGTACAAAAATAAAGAAATAGCTTTTTGTTTTTGTGTATGACAATTCATGAAATTACTGTCTCTGAGAAGTGAAAATGTGGCAAGCTATAATTATAATATTATAATTATGATGTGCCACTGGTCTCATTTGTGAAGGTGCTTTTTTTTTAACAACATGTATAATTCTTCTAAGATCACTTCTCACTAACTTCAAACACAACAGAAATCATAACTTTCTCCAGAAGCAATGTATCATTATAGATATCTGAGAAAGATAATTGGAAACTCCAAAAAGAGAATCAGATTCTTGCCAGAAAATATTTCTTTGAAGAACTTAAACTAATAGGCGCTGCAAATATATTATTGGAAGTGTGTTAAATATCATACCTTGCATGAAATTTGTGAGAAATATCTGCCTTAAATAGGCACTTACTTATGAAACTTAATGAAGTATTAACAATCTTTTCAAATTGTAAACCCCCGATTTTATGGCAGGATGCTAGTCTGTTCAACTTTTTTTTCCAGCACAGGTTAAAATTTCAATTGAGGTGAACAGAAATTACTGTCTAATAATTTTTCTAATTTTCTTGTGTAGTCTCTACTAATGCCCACATGCATTGAACTACACTTTTGTGTAGTAAAATAAAATATATGTCACTACTAAAAAATTTGCATTTTTACATAATTTAAAAATGCTTGACATGTAAAATCACAGTTCACTTTACAAAATACAGATAAATGGTCATAAAAACCAAAATGCACTGCATACGTTTGGTTTTGAAAATGGATTAAGTTATGGGCGACGTACTACCACATAAATTTGTAATTATTTCTCTTTAGTAATAAAACCCCATATACATCTACTTAAATACTGATTTAGAAGTAAATTCCAACTAAGTACAATAACACAAGTAGATAATGGATATAATTATAAGCTTAATGACATGAGAATACCTACAACATTATTAACTGTAATGTTTGATTACCTTCCTTTATGCTGTTATTTAACATAATAATAAAAGATTGAAGTAAAAATGAAAATATCAATTTTAAATGACAAAAACTTACTTTTTTCACTTCCTATTTTGGAATAGAAGGAAAAAAGAATAAAAATAAAAATTAGTCAATTGTCCATTTTGTATACATCAGCATTGTTCTACAAATATACATAATTATTGGTATAAAATATTTAAGAGCACTCCCAGCATCTTTACAACCACAGTCAATGGTCAGTTTTTAGCACTTTTTAGAACTCGCAGCAAATCACACAGCAACACTTCAAATGCTGACCCATGAAACGCGGGGGGAAGGGGGGGGGAGTCGCAGTGTAAAGCTTGAAGATCATCATTCTTCTTGGAATAGTTTCCCCAGTTACTAAGGTCAAAGAGATTGAGCTGCAAGAACAGAGTGGAAGTAAGGCGGTGTATCAACTTAATATAACATTACTGTTGCCAGCTGTTAGTTACCAGGTCATACAGCAAGTAAGCAAGGACGGTTATGATGTTCACCCTGTTGTCTATTCAAATATACACATCTGTAGGTATTTTTAATTTTACTCCTTATTAATTCATCTGTTAAGAATGCATGGAAAACCCAGGTGAGACCGCCCCCACCATCCTTTCAACCCACCCCCCTCCCTCCAAAGGCTTCATTCCACTATGCGACCAATCTGCAGCCCCCCCCCCCCCCCAGCCATGCTGGTATCAACACCATGCTTAGCACATATCAATATTTACTGTATCAATATCTAATGATGATGTAGTACAGTGATCATAACACAAGTTCCCTGGCAAAGATGTCTTTAGTTGACAAGGTAACTTTATCACAGAAACCTTGAATATTAATTTGTCATTTATTCATGATATTTTTCTGTCTAAGCTTTAAAAATCTCTCTTTTTCACAAACAGCTAGACTAAACTTAGACATTCGTGAAACACTTGGGCGATAATGGAATCTTCAAACTCCCAATATTTCAAATAATGGCATTATTTTAAGCTCAACATCAAACATTACATCAAAGCTAAAACTAAGCAACATAATACCAAACTTCATTAAAAATGTCACTACTAAATTTGACACCAACACACAGTCCGTTTTTTTGTCAAATTAATCCTAATTTTGCAAAATAAATACAACAAAATGGAGCTTGTCAAAAAAGCTAAAAATTATATTATAAATATATACACAAGTCCAAAATATATCAGCCCAACCATGCAATAAGTAATTTAAGATCTTTTTTCAAAAAAAAGCTAGTAATAATGACTGGTTAATATGAATACATAACAATTAAAACAAAGCTTAAAATGTATATACATATTATTCAGATACCAAATAAAGAATGGAAGAATAATGATAAAAGATTGACCAGGCTAAATAATATGTCAACAGACAGAAATAACAGTAATCCCAGAACACCCGGCTAAAATATACAGAAGCAGGAAATCTGTGTTACTAAGATTATTATAGAAAATAAATATCATAAACTCACAAAATTCATACAAATCCGCTTTAAATATTTCCTAAAATAATGTTTTCATGACAATATTTGAAAAAAAAAGTTTATTATTCACAGGTGTTGACTATGAACTGGTCGCAGGTAAAAAGATTGTTTTGAAGTAACTAAAAATGAAAAAAAAAAGAATTCAAAATAAATAAATAAATAAATAAATAAAAAAATAAATAAGTAAATAAATAAATAAATAAAAACACTTTAATAATAATTTGGGATTTGTGACTAATGCTTCAGTAAGATGAGTTCAAAGTAAAAAAAAAAAAAAATTCAATAATGAGGCATTTGGGATTTGTGAGTAACTACTTCACCAAGATGTGCCAATATCCACAGTTTGAGTGGCAGAGAAACATAGTAGATGAACTTCATAACAGCACCATTGACACAGACCTGCAGTCGCAAAGGGAAGAGCTTTTTTATCTAAAAAAATCCAGCTGAACTATACGGAGATTGGTATTTCCAGGTGACCTTGCATGAAAGTGAATCATAACAAATACAAAGCACATCTTCATGTAGGAGAGAAAAAGCAAAAAAAAAAAAAAATAATAAAAAAAATAATAATAATAAATAAATAAATTAGTAAATAAATAATAATCCTGAGCCTAAAACATTGCCAACACGTGAAAATAAAAACAGCAAAAAAACTATGCTCCTCTACCGTAACTCTTGCCATGTATCTGACATACTATATATTAAATGAATAAGTCATTTTTCTTTTAGAGTTTCAGTGTAGAAGGGTGGTGTTGGAGTTAGCAAAGCAAACAGAGCACAGCCAGAAGCCTGCACAGAGGGTTTACCTTCCATTACCTTTGGGTGGAGCAACTGATCTCTGGTGCTCTCATGAACTGATGGCTCCCACTCACTAAACCTGAATAGAAAACAAAAATATTATGTCTGATACTCTCATGAGCTAAACCTGAATAGAAAATAGAAATATTATGTCTGATACTCTCATGAACTGACTGCTCCCACTCACTAAACCTGAATAGCAAATAGAAATATTATGTCTGATACTCTCATGTACTGAACCTGATACAGTGAATATGAAATAGATATTAGTTCAATGTCTTACATCATTATCAGTTTGTGGTTAAAAAAAAAAAATAAACCCACCACATAAAAAATATCCACTTTTATGCCATTCTGTATATTTGTACTCTGTTGACTTTGGCATGATTAACAATTGCAAAGGAAAATGCAAGCACAAAGATTTTTATGTCCAAATGTTAGAAACGCATCAATCTAACTAAAAGAACATGTTAAACATTCTACAGCATTTTGCCAACATCATTTTTGTTTAAAATTCTGACGTCGGTGAAGTGTTCAGCTATTTGGCTGAAATGAAAATGAGCATTAGGTCAGCCATCCTTCTACTCACCGTATAGCATGGGGGTCATCAGACTCGGGAGGGTCGTATAACCTATCTTTGCACAGTTTTATACTTTCTGCTAGCTTATGTTTGTATAGGTCTAAATCTTGTTCATATCTGCAAATCCAGAGCAGTCAATGTCATATTACAACATTTCTGTTATTCCTTCAAAGGTGCAAAGACAAAAACTGATTATCATGTAAACTGCATTAAAAGTGCATTTTTTAAAAATATTTAGCATTTCAACTGAGATTTTATTTCAAATACACACTGCCAAATGCTCCCAAAACATGCGGCTTATTTCTTAGAAATTCAGTGTCACAGGTTTCCTCACCTGTACAACTGTCCCAAGACCCACAACTGTGACTATACCATTAAAGTTAACATTGATTATTAAAATGTTCAAAGTTATATATCTGTGTAGTGTGATTTAGATTACAATACAGTGATTATTAAAATATTCAAAGTTACGTCTGCTTACAATACAGCTGCCTCTGGGTTCCAGGGGTTCTTGGTGTCAATTTTGTAGAATATTTTTCTTGCATATAGAAGAACCTGCCAAATGTGGTTCACATTTCGCCTGGAAGAAAACACAGTTTCATGAATAGTATTATATAAAGTAATCTGTAGATTTCAATTCTCTGTTACCATTAAAGCTGATAAATTAGGCTACAGTCATTAACAGACTTCTACTTATTATTATTATTATTATTATTATTATTATTATTATTATCCCATGGCCATCACTTGTATTGTCATACACATTTGCGCTGTCATCCTATTGTTCGCAGTGCTAGCCGTGGGATAAGTCAGTTACTCTTCTCTATTAGAAGCATGTAATATGCAATGTTCTGACTTTGATTATTTTTTACTTAGTCCCAAAAATGATAATTTTAAAAGAGTGAATGCCAAATACATAAAATATGCCACAAATGCATATATCCAAACAATGCACATATTTCCTACCTCCACTTCTGAAAAGCTCTTTTGACATCGAGTTCCCCTGACTCAGGATTGATAACTGGATGGAATACGGGCGGGTCAAACACCAACCTCTGAAATTATAATAGACACTATGAAGTATTGTTACCTCTGAAATTATAACAGACACTATGAAGTATTGTTACATCTTTGATGTATAAAATTTATAAGGTATACACAGCTTCTGTCTGAAGAAATGGTTATTCTCATTCATTCCATGATTTAAGGGTCAAATGACACTCAAATGCTTTTTCTTTTCGATAAAAAGAACTTAGTGTCACATGAATCTTTGAGATGAAGAGTAAGTACCTGTGGTAGTGTGTGTGTGTGTATGCACCTGTGGTAGTGTGTGTGTCTATGTACCTGTGTGCCTGTAACAGTAGAATTTCAGTGTTACACTATGTTTATAATATACATAGAAAATAACAGTCCAGTCCACAGCAGTCTCTATTCAAAGGATGGAGTTAAATAAGACTCCGTGCCCTATTTAATCCTCATATACTTACTGGACAGTCCCCGTCTGGGTAATTCTCTGGTATAACATACTTACTGGACAGTCCCCGTCTGGGTAATTCTCTGGTATAACATACTTACTGGACAGTCCCCGTCTGGGTATAATTCTCCGGTATAACGTATACTTACTGGACAGTCCCCGTCTGGGTGTAATTCTCCGGTATAACGTATACTTACTGGACAGTCCCCATCTGGGTAATTCTCTGGTATAACATATACTTACTGGACAGTCCCCGTCTGGGTAATTCTCTGGTATAAACAGGGAGAACCTGAAGATGCCCTCCTGGTACAGACCTTGCCTGATGAACAACACTCCATTCCAGACTGTAATCAGATGGAACTAGGTCATATGTTAGAAACTAGGTCAAGGACATAAAAAGGTCAATCTTTTTAATCCATGATATAAAACAAAACAAAAGTATCAGTGTATATTGTTCAAAAATAAGAAAATGAAAGTTTAGCAAATCTAAAGAATCATCTTTCTAAGTAAGAACTGAAAGATCATCTTGTTGGTCATACCTGATTAACTGTAGATAAATAACATAGTTACATCTTTATCAGATATGTAATTATTCAATAATTTTTGGTGATTTGAAAGTACTCCATTCTCAAGCTGTGTGTGTGTGTATTGGGGGGGGGGGGGGGGGGAAAATCGGTT